TAGTGGTTAGTGTTGTTGTTAGTGTTGTTGTTAGTGTTGTTGTTGTTTTATTTTCTATTGTATTTTATTTTCGTTTCTTAAATATTTCTTCCTTCCTTCTTTCCTCCCTTCCTTTCTTCACTCCATTCCTCCTTTCCCTTCCTTTCTCCCTCTTTTTTCCTTTTTTATAACTCTCTTCTCTTTTTCGTTTTAAAAATACTTCCTCTATCCCATTGTACAAATTCATCATTACAAATACTCTGCAATCTTCTACAGAAACTACCAGTGCCTGGTGAAGAAGTACCTCATCCAGAAATCCCCGACTCGCCAGCTAGTGACACTTCTTCTGCGACTGATCGAGACAGAATGGAATATCTCGACATGAACTTCAAGTATCTAAAACACGTGGTTTTAAAATACATGTGTAGCGATAATAAACAGGTAATAATAGCAATAATGTGAACCTTTTTGTCACTAGGTGCACAGGCACCCCAACACACACGTATTTAATACGATAGTAAACAGTGGAACCCTATTGGTTTCTATAGAAGACTAAAGGGCCATGGTCCACCAGCATTCCTTTCGAGCTTTTGCTCATGTTTGAAAATAAAAATACATCGTAATATAAGCAAAAAACTTACTCTTTATTATCCCTTTAACTAAATAAATATAGATACTGTAAGATTCGACATTTAAACCGATGGATGGAAACGGATTTCGAATGGATATTCGAAGTCAACTCATTTTCCAGTTATGAAAAATCTATAGACACGACCGCATTGAATGCTGGTGGACCATGTCCCTTTTGATATCTGTGTACCTATTATTCATTTTATCTTTTTCTTCATCTGTCAGTCACGGCAGCTCATCAATGTCATATCACACATGCTGAGATTCAGTCCCAAGGAACGAAAATGTGTTCTCGATGCGTCCGAATGGAAGGTGAATACATATCCCAAGTTAGCCAAAAACTCATTTTCAACTATTGACATTGTTATATTTGTATCTTTAGCTGCCACTTGAATAAGGATCAGAAATTTCGAGTACGCATGCTCGGGACAAGGGTTAAAGAGCTTCGCCAAGTACGGCGGTCAGTACGTCTTCATTTCATCACGCGAAAAAGTTAAGGAGACTGAGACCAATTTGCGCATGCGTATTTGGAAATTCGAAAGTTGCGAAATCAATAGATATATTTATTTTATATACGAGATAGAAAATATATGATAAACAAGCGGGGAAAATTGCTATTGGATTGGGAGGGGAGAGTGGTTGACTATGGTTTCCGTTACAAGTACACTAAAGTATTTCTTTTCTCTGCTTTTCTTCATTGTCCAACTTTGACTCCTTTTCAAATGTTCTTCAGTTTAAATTCAATTTATTTTCTTTCAATTACACAATACCCATGTAAAAATCTGTCACCAAAGTTTGTCTTTAAAACTGAAAATTAGATGGAAACGCCATTTGTGCACTTTTCAAGTTCACTTATTAATATTCTTTCTTCTTTATTTTTGAATGATACCCTTGTACATTGTCCGATAACGTTTAGCGAATTAGTGTACAGTACTTGTTATTTAGAGATTTGTACAAGATTTTCTACAACAATAAAGCTGTAAATTACAAAGTGTTTTTATTATTTACTTTTTCTAATACAGGCTCTAAATGTAATTATGATTTTATCACATCTGAATCGTTCCCAGTTGTCCATTTCGAGCGTCATCGAAAGAAGGAGAGAAGCGAGCTTTATTTTGTCTTCCTCCTTCCCATGACGCATAGCGAGCGACACTGAGAAAAACCCTTTATATAAGTCGTGTCTTTTTAGCGTCATGAAAAGAAAGAGAGAAGCGAGCTTTATTTTGTCTTCCTCTTTCTCATGACGCATTGTGAGCGACAGAGAAACCTTTATATAAGTATGTCGTTTATAACAAATCAATACATAATGAAATCTTAAGATAT